AAAATAATGTAGATTAACTCCAGGATAATAATGCCATGTCAAATTGTACTTGTTATTTGCAAAAAATGAGAAAGGAAGACCTCACACCGCTAGTAATTTCTGAACTAAACTTCAAAGTTAAAGGCTAGAGAAATAATATGGTAAAGCATAATTGCAATATTTACATAAATTATGACGATTTTAAGAATCAAAACTTTCAAAAGAAGTCGAAGGAAACATAACTTAGAACAAATTTGTGATAACAGATTTTATTTACTAGTAGTTTAATTGACATACAGTAAACCGAAGAACTAGTAACGTGAACCGTACCGGTTGAAAATTCGATTTCACTGGAATCTAGGACTTCAGATGAAATGACTTGTTATGGTGTTACGAAGTATGAAAACCTGGACTGAAGCAATTTTGTGCGAAATCCTGAATTACGATTTTTTTATCTATGTAGAAAAAATAAATAGATAATCACAGAAATCACATCATATTCGTTATCGGATATTTTCACAGCCGTGATGTCCTGTTTAGTTGAGACATTACCAACTGCAGTACTCAAATCGCCTATTTCTGCTTTTGATATTGTACACGAGAGTAACTAGCGGGAACATGAATATATATTAGACATATAATGTGAATCTGTTTGTATATCTATCCCATATCAACAGTTCATTTTAACTAGAAAACAGCTTTGGTCGTCTTGAAATTCTATGTTGGTGACCTAGGGGACACAGCAAACAACGAAGAATCCATTTAAAGAATTATAGTTTGTTACCAACTAGTCAGGCGGTGATTGAAAAGAACCTCTTAGGTAACTAGAACAGTAGGTGTAAATTAGCAAGTTTCTATCCACAATGCTATTAAATCTAGTTAATTACTAGAAGCCTTCATATAAAAAGATCTTTAAATTCTTTGCTTTTTTAAAGGGTGATAACTTTTATCCATAGATTTAGCTCTGCAGTGAGAAAAATATGAGACAGAACTTTTTTCTCGATTAAAATCAACCAGAAAAAGGGATTTAAATAAACGTTTCAATACCTTAGATAAGCATTCAGATTGTGTTACTGGTATCATGGACACTGAGTCTAAAGAACCCTTCTCTGAATCAATAGTTAGTTCGTGGACATTCTTATTATACAAATCACCAGACGTTTTGTTTGTATTCTCAAGAAGTGAAATTAAAAGTCCAACGGGAGGATTGAACTGAAGAACCAATTCTAAAATATCAAAACAGATTGAAACTCAGCAAAAATGTGAGTATAATTACATAATAAAGATAGAAAAGAAAAAATTGGCTTGTATTTCTTTTAATCAAGGTCGAACTTAGTAAAACATTATACTATGTATAGTATATAATCTATGAGTCATACCCTTTCTTGTGAACCACGTTGGTACATTTAAATCAATAACCGCGGAGTTATGTTTAATCATATTTAAATCATCCTTAGATCCTAGCAACAAAACTTTGGAGGCTAGGCAGAAACTAGGTTTATCCGGCAAGCTTACTGTTACGGCTATTAACACATCACAACCGCCTGTTAACCAAATGTAGGCAAAACGTCAAAAAGTAATTTAGCTGGAAACTCGAATACAGGACGGTTTCAACCAATGGAATTTAAAACAATCTTTCTATGCAATCATCTAGAAGTCATATCATGTTGACCTCCAGTCTGAGGGATATTTAATCCTAAGCACTACCACTATTTGCGATCGTCCTAAGGCTTGTCTGAAATTCGCCATGTTTAAAAAGTCACTTACACTAGAGGCAACCTTTGGGGGAAATTATATATATATATATATATATATATATATATATATATATATATATATATTTTTATACTGCCATATAACTGTTCCTACACATTCTCCCCTCTATAAATTGCCTTTATTTAGTCATAAACCTGGTACTCAGACTTGTCCCATAAGTGTCCTGGTTATGCCCGTATTGGAATTCATTAATTATGGCGCATTTTAGTCTTGTATTTTATGTATGAAACCACATGAGTTCTTAAATTTGAATAATACAAGTTACTTTGCTGGTTTTCTAAGTGTTAGTTTTGAAAACTGGAGAAGTTTGCACAGCCCATAGAACGTTAGTAAATACAGTACTTGAGTTTATCGAATTATTATCATTTATGTAAGCGAAATCACGAAACGTTTAATTATAAAAAACACTAACATACATAATACAACACCGACCTACGTAAACAACCCATTACGAAAGCGGGAGAAAACCATAACGACAATTAACAGTGAGGTTACTTCTCGTTTCGGTGAACGACTAAATATCTATAAGATCTAGAAAGCTATTAGTCGTTTAATAGTTCATTCCAACAGATAAAAAGACAACAGTACTTGTAAATCACTTGGGCCGGATGGTGAAATGGTTTGAATTAACAGCATGGGAAAGTAGTTGATCATCTAAATAGAGTCCTATACAAAGATCTTTAGTACTTAGTAATATAATAATCAAAAGTATGAAGAAACTTTGACTCATACTATAAAATGCATAGAAGGTACCATGGGTCAGATCATACGAACAGTACAAAAACTACCGTGACCTAGTTTTTTTCATATGGATACTCTGCTACATGATTTGAGTATTATACTCTCCCTATTGCGAAGTGGATGGTAGTATAAACTTATGCTTGTATTTACTATTTACAAGAAAAAATTCTTCATAGATTTAAAGATAAAATTCCTAAAAATGACAGATGTAATTATGAATATTCCGTGAAACTATATACATTTGGAGTAATATGAAAATAGTTTTGTGGATTTTTAATGAATAATAGACATACACTACTCAATAAAATTATTGTTATAAACAAATATGACAATTGAGAGTTAATGAATTGCAATTTGCTACGTATTATATACATGACAGCATGTCATATATACGATCACGTTAGGCAGAATTCATATCTATAGAAGTAAATATTTTTCTAAAAGACAACAAGTATTTTTACCTGGATGGGAACTGATTACCAGAGGAGGCCAAATATCTACGTTAGGTTGAATTTGTTGTAGTTTTTTGGTAGTATGCAACTGTTTGCTGTCCGAACAGTTCTCATCAAGGCTAGTATTTGTTAGCGAAGAATCGATCCGCAGTTGAAAGACGTGATTTGCATCATTAATATTAATATTTATGGTCTGCACATTTTTATCGTTAGATATAGTATTGGGTAGTGTAACTTTCTCAATATGCGGTTTGTTAGTGGGCTCACCAAGCTTTTTACTTGATTTCATTAGTATGTCATAGACTTCGGGTAAGTTCGTTGAGTCAAAAGCTGGACCTTCGATTGTTTCACTGGGTTTTCCGAAAGTTACAGTACCAACGGCTGTTAAAAACAAAAGTCACTAGTTTACTATTAATAATGGGTTTTAATGTTTGGAACAAAAATATAAGTAAACTGAAATGACAAAATTATTTTAAAAGACAAATATTATTTTACATTAGACTATAAATTGTTAATGATTTCTACATTTAACAGTGTACTGTAAAAGATGACCACGAATAATTTAGAAAGTAGACAACAGATGATCAGGTTAATTTTCAACGTAATCTAAACCAGGTAATCAAATATTACAGAGAATAGTTTAATACAATATAAGATTGCACCAATATCAGCAACAATTATAATTAGATTTTTAATCACAGTTGATTGAAATAAAACAGCCTGGTGTGTTAAACAATAAGCAGTGAAAAAGTTACACAAACGGCAGAACTAATGTTTTATGGATATTGATAAACTACATCAATTCACATAAAGCTTAAGTCCGAGGTTGGAATTAACCAACTTGCCACTATATTCTGATTATCAGAGGTTTATTAACCGACTTTTATCCGGTAATGAAAATCATCTTAGGAATAGGAAAACGGTATCAAGCACTTGAATATCTATTTACTGGTGGACATGACCATAAAGACTAGGCCTATTTTATGTAAACAGTAAATCGAACTGTATTAAGTATGGTGGAATACACAAAGAATATTAGAGCTCATTATTTTATTGTGAATTTAGGCTAGGCTTAAAACAAAAATCCGGACAAAAAATTTAGGTAGCACATACAATTGTCAGTACATTTTAAGCCAAATGTATTATGATATGCTGACATAATTTTTGATCACTCGTCAATAAACAATGATTAAAAGATTTTTCTTTCCTCCAAGAATACCTTAAATAACCGGCAAAAGCCCCTCTACCATATGTTCTGAGTCAGTTGATATTACTGTGAATCCAAATTAGTTGAATTTTCCAGATCGAAGTATAGGCAGACGAATTTGCAGACTGTGTTCGTCAAAACGTTTCTAGCACTACCCAAGGTTAACTACACGAAAAAAACTACCCTACGTCTCCTTAAATAAGGGAAACGAATTTTTCAAATAACTCATTTAATCCAGTACACAGGAAAAGATTCGCACCCCAAACAGCTCAAATGAAATCAAGTAATGGGTTTCAGTTTTATAGAATCAAGTACTTTTATCACTAAGATACTCCTTAACATGCGATTCAATACCATAATATCCTCACTACTGTGCAAGTGTGAATACACCTGACAACTTACCTTAGTGTTCAGAATGATATTCATTATCCATAAGGTAAATATATATGATTAGTATAACTTACAGTTATTGGTCCTTCTACAGTATCGTGGACACAAGCGAATGGAACTAGTTCGAATATCCGAAGAGGTAAAATTCATATGTTTGGTAAAAGTATAAGAACAACATCTGCGAAAAGACAGTAAACTAGGAAACGTTTGTGAATGTGGAAGGTAGCTAGAACCACCAAAAACATAAGATGAATGATTAAATGTACGCCTTTTATGATGGTTACAAGTAGAAAAATATGGACAGGGTAATCTCTTATGAATGATACGGAATTTGTCAAAACAAAGCACACTGTATAACTGTGTATTGTTCCGCGACCATGCTATAAAATTCTTAGTAGACATGTTGCCACATTTATTTGGTCGACATCTTACTGAAGTTCGGCAGGTATGATATTTTAACAACTGTGTGTCTGAAATCAAAGTAAACACTAGACTTTAGTTTTGTGGCAAAAATGAGCAAATGAATATGAAGCAACTTAAAAATACAAGTATACTACAAGACGAAAAAGTTGAATTAAATTGACACGAAAATACTGGCGGACTAGACTAGTAACTTGAACATTGAGAATCCCTACAAATCCTGCTACACGAGATGGGTACATCTTTATATAATAATCTTCCTAGGGCTTACCAAAGTTAACGGAGTGTAGAATGTCAATGATTGAGATTCAACAGATTGATTACGTAGTAGGCATCAATGTAAAGATTGAACTCGAAAGTATCAAATAAATTGAGCATTGGATAGAAGGTTAATAATCATAAAATAATTATATTTTTGCGGTGTTCATATGAGTAGACATTAGGATTTCTAACGTCTCGTGACTTGATCTAATTCGCTTCTTCACAGTAAATTAATAACCAAATTATTAAGTTGTTTACTCTGGAGAAGTGATCTATATCAAGTCATGAAACGTCAGAGATCCAAATATCTACTCATTTTGGATATCACGAATATATGATTATATTATTATTATTAATTGCCTAATACCCTTTACACATGCTACATTTACCCATTATGAAGACCATTAAACCAACATCTTAATTTTAGATGATAAATTTAATTTACCATGATTCCTTGAAAAATCTAGGTGATTCTTAGAAAGAATCTGACCACGTTACCTGGGCTTGTTGTTTTGTAGAGTAAGAGAACACAGAGATTTCACATTTCTTAGGCGAGTTGATGTTAACAAGAAAAGATCACAAAATGTTAAAGGTGAAATTTCTAGTGAAAAAAAGAACAACCTTTAGATGTTCCACAATTTTAGGTATAAATATTGGCAAACTATCTATCTCACAGAACATCTTTCCAAAACCGAGCTTCTTCTTTAAGGTTGCCTAGATAGCTCCAACAGCTTTGACAGTTGCTCGGTGTAGTTGACATAGAATTATGACCACCAAGTTCCAAGGTTCTTGGATAAGTACTTTGAGATTCTCCATACCTTTAAAATTGAACTTCCTTTGCATCGACATGCCCTGGTACGGTCGAGGGTAGGGAGAGTCAGCTCTCCTCGAAATGCTCTCACATGGCCGCTGCCAGGGAAGTCCTACTCACTACCTTCTTGTGGCGGGTGTTGTTTACGAACTTGAGAGGACGAAAAGCGCCTTAACTTGGTTGATGGATATGGAGGATCCACTTAGGAGAGTTGAAAAACCCTGATTCCAAACCGATGGTGCATATGGGCTCCAGGATCCTGAGGGAACAAATGGCATATGAACCAATCGTTGGTCACCGGATACCATAGGGTTGCATCTCCTTACGTTGCTCTACTGCCTTGTGGATCAGACCTATAGGTCGGAGGCTCGAGTTGCAGCCCCCCTAAGAAGACCACTTGCTTCGGTCTGGGCATCCGGGCAGTATCACAACCCACACATAAGTCAAGTGACTTGTGTGGGGTATATGTATTTGGCGCCCCTTTGTACCAACATTTGTGTTCAAATACTAATAATAATACATCAGCATAAGCAGCTTCCCAGAACGACAGGCACTTGTTTATAACAAGTAGGCATAAACAACATATGGGATGGGACAAAAGTATGCCGTGTCAAGTAACAATATTTCAAAGAAGCATTGCGAGAGGAATAATAGAATGAGGATAACAATACGATTAATAGTAAAAAACTAAACATAAAAGATTTAATACAAATGGATCTGACCGGAGAATGAAAACTCGAGGACAATATTACATTTAATATTTGCGGGATGGTAAGCAAATAACACACGTGAGTCACATTGATAGAACACGCACCATACCAAGTAAAATTTCCAAACATATATTACGCACACTCCAAGGACAGGAGATAAAATTTAGTTTCACGTGTTTACGAGAAAGGTTTTCTTTGAAGTTACAAGAATGAACACTAATTAGCTATCAAGCGTCATGGTGTATGTTCGCTCACATCGATCCATGTGGACGAACGTTCTGCTGGGAAATGTTGAAATTTCAGGTAGGAGGATACAAAACACAATTAAACCACTCAGTTCAGAGAACAAAATTCCACAAAAGTCATCCATACGAGCGACAAACCTCCGTTATCTTTTTCAGATGTACAGGAACACATACACCATAATATTTCGAAGTCTTGGATAGACAGTCGTGAACTAGCTAGATTTAACAGCTACAATGCTTAGCACGATACTGAAATGCAATATGGTTCTGATCCACAACGGAGTGTTAAAACACCAAACAAGTAACCTAAAAGTAATTGATTGAGACGAGTGTTTTACTATGTTTATATTCATATTGTAGATCAAACCAATCTACGGATTTATCAAGGGAAACTCAGAACTGACAAACCACGTACCTCAACTAAAACTGGGAGGCTAGAATATATATTGCTTCTTCCATATAAATACAGACTCAGATCAATAAATTCTGAAACACTTATCTGCAGAAATGAATACATATTTAACTCTTGCAAATCTAAAGTTTGTCACAACTAATTAAGTAAATATTTGGTTAGCTGCTGTGTGAAATAAGTCAATATTTTAAGACAACGATACAAAAGCAGTGACAGGAAATTCACCTACTTTTTTAATAAACAATCCCATAGAATCAGGATGTATAGCATCAATGTTTCCAGTATTTAAAGAAGAGGCTTTAACTGTAGATATGGTATTCTTGCTATTTCCAGGCATGAGTCCGTCACTAGGTTTCGGAAAACCTGGATATTTACTTCCTTGTGAAGGTATTGGTAAAAAGTTAGGTCTTTTAATTGGACAATCTGAGATAGCCGATGAAGAATAAGCGCTCGTACTGCAAACAGCTTTCTGTAAAGAATCATGAACAGATAAAACAGTTGGTCGTTTTGCATATGTTTTATGGTTTCTGTCATGATTTCCAAGAGCTAAAGGTGAAAAATCCAAAGTGTTTGGTCTGCGACTTTTTAGAGTTTTGATGCACTGACTAATACTTTCTTGGTCCGATTTTTGACGCACAGGCAGGTTTGGATATCCAAATTCTTCAGACGGGGTAGTACTTTTACTCATGTTGCATATGTAATATGACTGAACTTTGGTAGCTCGCGTTATTAATTTATATCATGTTAGTGATATAAGATCTTTAGCAAGAGCATTGTAGTTGTTAGCTCACTAAAAACGAGATAAAGGTGAAAGAAAAAGCAGTGTGGTCACAGCATTTGCTGGATACGAGAAAAACATGGTATAAAAGGTGCTTAGTACTAAGTCACCTATTATCCTACTCAGTAAACAGAACACTAAAACTGAGCGGTAGTTCTGATGCATGAAAGCCCCACCTTCCGTTCAATAACTCGCCAAGAAATCTGTTTTTCCCTTAAAATAAACTTCAAGCACTGAAGAAAGAATATCTAACAAATCATCAGTAGCACACACCACACCTGAAGTCCTCCACTTGCAATTCAAATGAGTCAGATTGATCACATCGTGATAAGCTACTGATGGCGTGGTTGCGTACGAGACTGCCATTCAGTCAGCTACAACGCAGGCACACATATGTATCGGTCCAAGTTGCCATACTTCATTAACACAGCAAGACGAACACCGGATTCATAGAAGCAGTTACTCCAACAGTAGAAATATATAAAGAAAGATTGTGTATAAGTATGTAATACAGGAAGAAAGAATTAGTTAGTAGAAAGTAAGATATAAAGCAGTTTTAATCTCACGGTTTAAAGAAAGACAAAGAGTGTATACACCGACGCCATTGTAATCGATTCTAAGCCATGTCACCTAGAGTCTCCAACCATTGGTTACGATAGTCGAGTGGAACCCAACCAAGTAGTCTGCATCTACCAGTATGGCTCAGACCAGAAGTTAGTAACTTCAAGAAATGATGCCACGTTAAGGTTTGGCGGCCCCTAACTTTCTCCAACCATCCCTAACACTGATCAACATTGCACACAGTGGTAATCGGTGTTCAGGAATACGTAAAACGTGACCCAACCATCTCAGTCGATGAAGATTTACAACCTCATTGACTGATTTACCATCATTCCCTAATACCCTGCGTCTAACCCCACTATTACTTATCTGACGATCTCAAAAGATGCGGGCGATATTTCTAAGACACTAGTGATCAAATACTAGTGGCTTACGAGTATCTTCTACTCTTAATGACCACATTTCGCAGCCGTTAAGTAGAACAGAACGAACTGCTGTGCAGTGTACTCGTCCATTAATTGATAGACGGATATCTCGCCTTCACCATAGGTGACGTAAGTTTGCAAAAGCCAAACCAGCTTTCTGAATCCATGTAGAGATTTCGTCAGACACCAATCCACTAGGGCTGATCAGACTTCCAAGATAAGTGAAGTTGTAGACGCCTACGACTACTTCACTTTCTATCCTAAGTTCAGGTATTGAATCAGGTCAGTCATGGAGCATCAACTTGCATGAGTGGCAGTCTTCTATCGAGCATCTCCAACGATGGCAATATGGTCTATCTGAGTCCATCGTTGGTTTGATACATGGGGTCGCCACCGTGATAGTCAGTGTCTCTCCTTATACTAAAAATTAGTGCTTGCTAAAAATAAACGATCGTCTGCAGCAGACGATCACCATTATCTGTTCGCTGGGCCAGAATACTGAAATACGCACCTAAATGTCGATCCGTTTTATTTAAGCTACATACCTAGGCATTAAAGCCACCTGCAACGAGTACTCTGTCTGAGCATTTAGCTTTATGAAGAAGTTCAGAAATCTTTATGTAAAAGTCATTTTTCACTTCATCCGGGCTACAGTCAGTGGGAGCGTAGGCAAAAGCGACAAAAAGGCAACGATATGTGTCCCTATCCTACCGAGTTGTTACGGAGCCGTTTAGTCGAATAGCACACAGACGACTACTAACAAGGATCCCTTTTAAGCGCTTGTTTTGCCCTTGTAAGTAGTGTTATGCATACACCCGCCAGTCCACGAGAACTAACCAACGGGTCGCCAGATGAACAGAGAGTGCATCACGTCGGCTCTCCGTTTTGGCGAGGTGAGGTCAAATGAATCACCAAACTAGGGTTCTATATGTGGGTTTTGGAGACAGCATACGTCAATGGTACGAGATTCTAAATTCTTAGACAAGGACGCCTGCCAGCCAGTTCGACATGAAGTGTGTACGTTGAAGGTTTCAATATGTAGCTTAAAGCGAGGTTCCAGTGGACCTGGGAGTGTTTTGCGCACTAGAATCATTGGCCATGGTGACACTTGGGGAGAAAGTCAAAAGAGGGAATTTGGATTTGAAAGTCGAAGTAGGAGGAATAACAGGAATTGAACAGAGATTGACCATGAATAAAGTGGTCTTGAGTGCTGTTAGATTTATGACGGCGGTTATTACTTCTCGATTGCCCACAACATGGAAGGGTTCTTCTGGAGGTACCTGAAATGAAAATCGGGTTAGAGGTGGTCTTAGTGGCCTGAGGGTGTCACTGCAGTGTTCAAGGGACAACTGCTTGAGGTTAGTCAAACACGACCTTGTTGTGGGTAATTTTTGTGTTAGCTTCGTACTTGTTGGGACTTTACCGCTGGAGACGGAAATCTGTGGGACAAGGTGAGATGTGTATTTGTAGGGACGACCGTTTTTAACCCCACCCTTCTTTGTGGGAAGGTAGCATCGCTGTTATACTGGTTGTTTAAAGAAAACATCTTACTGCCGTCACACCTCTGTACAGTCAGCAGTACGACTTTGCCCTCAGACCTTGGGCTTGCTGCTTTTAGTCTCACCGCCTTTCAACCAACCTTCCCGGCATTGTAGGACTTTGAAGAACAATTGTTTCAGCCACTATAACTTGATTGGTTCATCTTGATAGGCAAGCCCGACCACCACATCAAGGTAGCAGCAACGGTCACTTAAAGTCTCTAACCATTGGTTACGATAATCAAATGGACCCAAATCACGCAGTCTGCACATACTCGCATAGTTCATCCCAATAGCCAATTTCTTTGAGGACTGATGTCCAATTCTGGTTTGCCAGCCCCTAGCTTTCTTAAAACTTATTTCTACACCAGTCATCATTGTGCGCCGAATCGGTCGGTGGATATGCATAAATAATACATCCCCCAACCATCTCAGTCGATTTACCATAATTACCTAGTGCTCCAAGTTTAAACACGTAATTACTTACTCGATAGTTCTAAAGTATACAGGCAATGGATGGAAAACACCTATGAACAAATACTGATAACCTACGAAGATGGTTTATTTCTAAACGCCACAATTCACCGTCATAAATCAACGCATATTATTTCAGACTGCAAATTTTTTAGATGGGTAATCATATTATGGTTGTACATATTACATTACAGGACCATTTCAAGAAACTAACTATACTAATCAACCCTCCGGTTGTTTTAATAAAGCAGATTTTACATCAACAGGAAAACCTACGAACATTCACCTTTCATTAGTCTGACGAACCAGCATATTCAGTGGTCAGAATGAATGTAACCGTGAGCACACAAAACCACTGATACTTTGTGACCATAAAAATGTATTTTTTTTAAACTGAGAACATACTATTAAGAACGTAGTAATCTATGATAAGCATATGGCTTCATAAACTGAAGGCACAATGCTACATTTTATGGTAAGTCGACTGAACAATCACTGTACGTAAACGAGACTCAAAAACTTGACTAAGCTAATAAAACCGAAGTTTTCGGCTCTAAAGTAGGAGAATTGTTGGATAGATCTAGATACTTACCATTGGTTATGACAGAAGAATTTCACGGTCATTTTCAAGTCCTTTTTAGATAACCAGCAAGTACAGTGCAGTGATATCAACATACAAATTAAAATCATTTATGAGTTCTTGTTTATTACGACAAGCAATCTTACTTGTGCTGGTCATACATGTATAACTGCAGTTATCTACAGAGGGTCTGTTACTGACTTCAGCTAGACCGCACCTACTAAAATAGCTCAATCTTCCTTGCCCAATGGATATGACCAACTGTAAATACGCATCAACGATTCAGTAGTATTGTCTTTTAACGATGGTCACTGAGCACCTGAAGGTCGAACTGTCGTAAAATTATTGGCGCGTCACCTCGACAATTCTCAAGGTTTTTCAATTCGATTTGAGTTCAGCCACACTGTCTGATAACGTCCATCCTTGAAGTAACGGAAGTGATACCATCGTAATGATGCCTGATATAAACCTGATCTACAACGATATTGTGTTATCGCGACGATTTACCAGTTGGGACAATTATGAGACCTGCCTAAAAGAAGTACATGAGGGTCAAATGTTCAGATGGTTGTGGATGGAATAGAAGTTTTCGCTTAACAGGCTTCTGTGTCTAGTAGCAGTGGATCACCAATGCCACCAGGCAGGAACCTAGGTATATTAACGGTAAAAGCGAAAAAAGAAATCATAGTGTGATACTATCCTTAGTCCTTAAGAATAGATCAAGTTGCCTCTTAAAGGACTCCTGGGAAGTCGCTTGGACTAGCTCGGCCGGCAGCGAATTCCAGCTTTTGACAACTCTTAAGGAGTAGAAGTTGTGTCTACATTCCGTCTTGCTATGTTGTGTTTCCAGTTTCTGGGTGTTACCCCTTAGGTTATTATTCGAACTAAGCTTAAGTAGGTGTTTAAGAGGATGTCCAGAAGTGTTAAGAATACTATAAGCCATTAATAAATCACCTCTAAGACGCCTATACTCTAATGGGTAAAGGTCTAGTGAATAGAGGCGTTCTTCGTAAGGTTTAGATTTGAGTCCTCGAACTGATTTCGTGGCTCGCCGTTGGATACGCTCCAAAGTGACCTTGTCCTTTTGGAGTGAGGGAGGAAGTACTATGTTTCCGTACTCTAAATGGGGACGGATGAAACTATTGAAGATTGTGTGGAAAGTTCTTCCGTCAAACTGGCCAAAAATGCGCTTCAACGTTACCAGTGCAAGGTTTGCTCGGAAGGCATTTTTGTCACAGTTAGCGTAAGACTTTAAATCATGGGGCACCAGGACTCCTAAATCTTTTTCGACTTGGGATACTACTAGAGAGGAGTTTCCTAAGTTGTAACTGT